TCATTGCTGGTTCATATTGTGGTGTTTTGAGATTGATATTATAAACCAATCAGAACTTGAGTTGCGCATACGGTTATCTATTTATAGCCATTTATTTCTTGCTACATCCTTAAGGTGTCGGAATACAGTGTGTTTACCCTACTTTACACTGATTACAATAGTAATTTTTACTAGTAATTAATTAATTAGTATTTTACAATACTTATTTTTGCTAAACTAATTAAACTAATAATTACAATTAAGGGGTTTGCACTTGGCAGGTATGATTTCCTGAGGTATTTGCATTTCAGCAGAGAGAGCAGGAGAAGTTGGCCTGTGGAATTCTGGATAGGTAATATATTCTCACATCAACATACGAAAATTGATCGAAAAACCCACCTCCTAGGCTCCTACCATGTTACACCTTCCACTGCAGTGACAATTCATACACTGAGTTCAGAAACTGCTGCACTTCTGAAATCACTTGTAGTTTGAAATCCGAAATTGTGTCGGCAACACCTCCCTTGATTACTTTCATAAGTTGTTTATCGTATCACAAATTTTCGCAATGAACATGTTCTAAAATGAAAAAAAATTATATCAACTTTCCCAGAAATTTTTTTGCCATTTTACCAATAAAAACAAAGTTTTAAAAATAACATAAAATGATGGGCTAAACTGCAAATCTTTCACAGCATATAGGCACATTGTGCTGCCATGTAAACATTTGACATGACGGTTTTTTTTTATAGTTGGTTTTGGAGGCTTCCAGTGCTTGTGCACTGCCCAGCCTGGTCTCTGTCACTCCTTTGATGAAAGACTATGCACCGTGCAAAGGGGCTCAATGGCCCAAGTACCTTATATGCAGCATGCACCCAACAGCCAGACAATTGAATTGGTCATGTAGCAAGGTTTTCAATATGCAAGTGATATATGCAGCATGCCTTATAATAACATGCACAGTGCGTCAAGCTTTATGCTGTAATAAAGCACCCTAACAGCATGCTAAATTGCACAAGTATGCCAAAAAATTAAACAAAACAGAACAAGAAAGAAGAAGAAGAAAAGAAAGAAAAACAAGAAAAAAAAATTATATATATACACATTTTTTAAGTTCTTTGATTTGAAGGAGAAAGCACCCCCAGTTTGGAGCTACATCAGAGAGGCAGCTCCACTTTCCAGCAAATATTGCTGCAAGCATGAAAAGATTTGGTGATGCTGTGTACTGGTGACTCCCCCACCCAGGGCTGTCTGCAGCCCCCAAGTAAGTCCCTGTGCATTCACTGCACTTCTAAATATTGCTCTTGGGCCACTGAATCTAGCACAGTGTAATATGAAGTGAGCTATGGTGTCATCTACTTGACATTCTGGACAGACCCCCGTAGCTGCCATTCCAAACCGGGAGGTTCACTAACACTGGGACTAGACTCACTAGGAGACTGAGTCAGTCAGTGAGTCTGAAAGTACCAGATGAACATCCTAATGGAATCCATTAGGATGTTCATCTGATTCTGATTGGGTAAAAGACCATATTCCGACACTGTGGGTAATTCCGACACTTCTCAACTTTTTCCTTTATATTAAGCTTTGTCTTAATTCCACGCATGCGTAGATGGTTGAAATAGTGACGTCAGTCGTCATACTATTGCGCGCAATATTTCCACAAAACACTAGGTCTGGTGGGAAAATATTAAGATCCACAGAGCAAAAGTCCACGTCACGGTCGTCATCCAGTGAGAACATCGAAACACGTGTGAAAGTTGACAGGTGACCTTGCTCTACCAAATAGTGATAAACTGTTTGTGTAGAAAGCATATTATGGTTTGAGACTTTTAAATAAGTCTGTGAATATATTAGGAATTAGGAACGTTTTCTATAAAGATATGAATTTTTGAGGACTTTTCTTTGCTTTTAAATTCTTAGTTAATTTGCGATTTAAGCAAACAAGTGATATATATTCATTAATACGAGCAAAATATGCGAGGATGATGGCCACTGTTTCAGAAAATACTGTGATCATCTTTGAAAGAGAGCAAAGACTACATTAGGTATTGATTTTCTGGTGAAGTGCAAAGTTTACGGTGTTTTTCCTAAATTCCTTCGATTTAAACTTTACAAGCGTTGCCTGCATACCTCCACTTTTTATAAATCCTAGCAGAGCAAGCTTCTTTCCAAAGAATTATCCTCCAAAAGAAAGACTCTGAAAATTTTAACTGATTTGGCAGCCGAGAGTGAACTACAAGTTGGACGTTCGTTTTCCACCCTCGACGCCTATGCTATACGCCAACATGCCAGACGATCTATGGAAGCATTCAAGAAAATTACTGCTCAGACTCATCAAAAGAAACTTCATAACCTCGGCATCCTCAATGAAATTCATCCTGTCAACCCTGACAAAGTTGTTTTCAACTTTAGTTCCGTCAACTTGGAACCTCGCGTTAAATTTTTGCTCGCATTTGGCCTTGATTTTTGTCTAACCGTTTTTAAGTTGAACTTCTATAAATTTTTCTTAGCTTTTGAAAGACTCGCTCTTAGCATTAAGAATGTTCCAACTCCTAATCGTCCTGAATTTTTAGGCAACCTGCAAAGTTTAGCCTACCGGCATTTTTATGGCTTCAAGTCCTATAAAGTTTTTTCCTCTGTCTTCCAACCTCGTGACACAATTTTATTGAAAGGCCTAGCAAAAAATAAAGACCTAATCATTTGTAAACCTGATAAGGGCAAGGGTGTTGTTCTGGTGGATCGTAGTCGCTACAACAGTAGCCTAAATGCACTCCTCACCGATTCTTCCAAATTTGTTGAAATTGCAGATCAGATCTCTAAAACCATTTTGAAAATCGAAGACAAAATCAATAATTTATTGCGTAAANAGGTTTGGTAGATGTGTATAAGAGACAGTTCCAGAAGCAGCATTGCCGACCATCAAATGCAGTTGCTGGTTAGCTTTCACTGAGTGAACGCGTATGAGATTTTGCTCTTGCGAAATAGCTTTGCGGTGCATCATGTTAAGTTCAACTCTTATTGATGGCATGATTTGTTATTAATTTGTAAATGTTAATTTGTTGTGTTTGACTTGGAGACGAAGTGCTAATGAATTAATATTTAGTCTAATTGAAATCTTGAAATATTGCAAGTTGCAACCGTCATTCTTGATTCTTTCAAGTGTATCTTTGATCCCTCCCTATTTTTAACCTTTCCATCTCAACTAAAATTTTTGGATAAAAAAGTGGTGAAGATGAATTGGAAATGATATATGAACCTTAATTTTTAGAATTCCATCCTGCTTGATAGTAATGATGGATAGCCAAGATTCTTAATATGTTACCAAACCTCTCTACTAGTTAAATTGGATCTTGGAAATTGGAAGAACAAATGCCAACTCCCACAGTCCTATTTAATCAAACTGTGTCAGCAGGAGTGATAGGAATCATTATCATTAGGTTTGATAAATGAAAAACATCATTGTTTGATCATACAATAATATAATAAAGGAATGACTTGAAACTTTGTTGTTTTAAATCAATCATTTGCTTCCAATTTTTCATACTTATACTTATTGAAAACAATCAACTAGCCCGGATCAACACAAATGTGAAATAAATTGGTTCACTGATACCACAAAAAAAGTCAACTTATGAAAAACTAAGAAATATAGGAAAATTTTTCACAGTTCACTGTATCGTTCGCACTCATTTTCAATTGCTTTGTGGCCTCAGAAGTTGTACGTAACTCAACTTATGAGTGCTTCTATCATTTGTGAAGTTATGCATATTGTTGACATAACTCAGTGTGGAAATGTTTTAAAGGTACCATATTTTGGAGTTCCTTGTACCTAGCGGACTTATGCAGTGCTTGAGTTGCTACAAACACTTAGCAATGTTTTGAGCGTACGACCCCATATTTATGAACAAGAATGTCAAAATTTATTCAAAACCAAATTATATGTTTTCAAGATTTTCTTCAGAAATAATATTTAATACTTGTGCATTACTTAAGTAATTTCTTAGTTCACAAACTTTGTATAGTGTAATTGGGCAGAAGCTTCATGTGTGCAAGCAATAAGATTTCAAATTAGTGTAAACGAATATGTGACTTTGTTGCCGCGTGTCTCCCGCGGGTGAGGCAAACACGTTGCCTACTTCTACTTGATAGGTTGGCAACAACCTACTTAGGGAATGGATAATGATGAGACTAAAATTTATCTTTTATTATGGACAAATAGGACAGAATTTAAATTGCCGTTCAAGTAAGTGGCTCTTGGTTATGAAATGAGCACTTATGGTGCATAGGTGACTGGAGAATGTCAGTATATACCTAAAGAGTTTCAGAGCATAGGATTAACAAGCATAGGAGTTAAGGAACTAAGGAGAATAGGAAACATGGAGCATAGGAGCATAAGGAACTAAGGAGCATGGAAACATGGAGCGTAGGACAAGATGCATATGGGATCTGCCATAAAAGAAAGTTAAACTTATTAATTTTATGCATCATAGTGCTAAGACTATAAGATAAATAATTGGATTAAATATGAACAAGCATTAATTAAAAAGCAGAAAACAGTAATGATCAAGAACCTTATGATGATATCAAACTTGTATTGCAGCAATTAGCTTTCTGAAGAATTAATGAACACTAAAATATATAGTTTGCCGAATTAAAACACACTGAACACAATTAATAGAAAATAAGAAACAAAGCAAAATCACAACGTATAAACAATTTGTAATACAACATTAATTGAGTAATAAAATGAATATATGCAATAAATAATCACTCACTTCCTCTTTATTTGCTGCATAGTACATATTTTGGCATAAGCATGTACACAGAAAATGAAATGATTTGTCATCATTATTTTCATTTTGGCAAATATTGTGGAAAATAATGTTTTTTAAAGGTAAGTTTTATGGTTTGGATAAGATTTATGTAAATTATATGAGATCTAGAATTGATGTCTGGCATTCTCATATTTGAAGTCAATATTCATGTAGCCAGTGCTGAGCATTTTGACCATATATGATAAGGTCAGTAACTAATGACAATTTTGAAGTATGTTCCTCAATAATTGAATCAGTACTCAAGTTGTGGCACTTGCAGAAGCTGTGAAGATTGAGCCTCGTGATGAGCAGCAATCAAACTGTGACTCGGGGCTCCCAGCTGGCTTCCTTGAAGTGGAGAAAGGGGAACCTTTCTTCATGGAAGAAGTTAGTGATATTCCTTTGAAGAATGTTCTTTTGTTATTATTATTCTATGAAATTAGTTAATAATCCAAATCCCAGTAATAGCCTAATGAAGTTCAGCAAAGTTCTGAGTTACGCATGAAGGAAGATATGGGCACTTGCTTCGTTAGCATTATATCCAAGATGGTTTATAGTTTCTTCTATCCATGATGTTAGAGCCTTTCTTTTATTATGAAACTGAGTATAGTTTTTTTTATTTTCAGTGTTGAATTTATGTCATATTACTTATACAGATTTTCTATTTATAAAAAAATTTGATGGTAGTAGGTATCTATTTATCATTATTTAACTTCAGATAAATTTTTGATTTCCCAGTAACCATTTGCTTGCATAATATATGTTTATCAAATTTTATTAGGAATGATTGTGTTTTACAATACAATCTTGATTGAGCTTAAATTTTGCATAGATCTCAGTCTAGCTTCCAAAATGCTCGAGGTTTTTATAAATTACTTATTAAAAATGCTTGAGGTCTTCCACAGACTCGAGGTCTTTGGAATAGATTAATTAGTAGTTAAATGGTAGATTTCCAATTAACTGTCATGAAAGTGGCCTAAATTTGCATGTCAATTGTGAAGTTTAGTAAATTCATCTGATTAGCCTCCAAGTTATCCTGATAGCTGAACCGAGTTATCCCAAATATTATACGGTACTGAAAATCTTCCTCATTTTGTTATGGTCTCGCTGAATAATAAATTTTTCCTTTGATGAGAAGAATTCTTTCATCTGCCCACAGTACTTATTTTTGAGTACATCAACATTTAGACCAAATTTATTTTTGTAACATTTCTTCCATCTGAGCAGGACAGTGCTACAGTTGCTGACTTCAAACTGTTCCAAATTCCATTCCTGGGCTTGGATTCTCTCAAGGCAGAGCTTGTCGAGGCTGGGGCATCTCCATCCATCCCCCAGGCTTCTCCTGCAAACCAAGAACTCCCAACAAGGGCAGGAATCTTCACCGCTGTTCAAAAAGCCTCTGAGAATGCCTGCTTAGCCTCTACTTCTCTGGAGGTGCACAATTGTGGTGCTTCAATGACTCTTCCGCCTTCAGAAACTTTAACTTCCAAGGGGAAGAGTCAAACAAATGAAATGAAAATCTCATCCACTGAACAAGAAGCTGGTGAAGCTCGCTCGCCTAATAATGACCGCCTTCCTCCTACTCCTGCACCATCAGTAAATTGTAACGTTCTCAGCTACAATGGAACGAGAACTGTCCCTGCAACGCCGGAGGCTTCTTTTAAGGCGAAAGAGGCGCGCAATTCTGTGGATTTGGGACGTTCTAAGCATCTTCGCATTAAATTAAAAAAATGCAGTGTACTATTGACTCGCATTCATGTTTCTGAAAATTACATTTACGTTTGCAGTGAAGAAAACGAAAATAATATTTGCTCAGAAGAAATAGCATTTCCAGAGCCTCATCCTGATCATGGGAGCAAAGATTCAGAGCGACCTGAAATGCGCAGTGAAAAAGTGGGCAAAAGTGGAGGACCAAATTCAAGTAAAGAAAATAAGTCAAACTTTTCTAAAAAACTGATGGTCTGCGAAGGACATCCCTCAATCGTTCTAAGCGTCAAAATGCTTCTATGAAGGAGGCAATTTCTTCCACAACCTTCCACGTACGTCGTAACAAAGAGAAGACTCTCAAGTGTCATGTCTGTGGCGCAGCTTTCCGTTTTAAATGTAAGCTTGATCGACATATCAACGCAGTTCATCTTAAATTGAGGCCCTACAAGTGCTCTAAGTGCGATTATGCCTTCAGTCAGGTTTCTCATTTACAAACCCATTTAAACACCGTGCATGCAAAGCTGAAGCAATTCTTTAAGTGCACAGTTTGTTGCATCAATTTTTCTTCTCCTGCGTTTCTACAGCGTCACGTCTCTAAAGCCCATTCTGCTGCTACCAAGTTTCAATTGGATAGCCGTTTCGCCGGCGCCCAATTAGTAGACAAACCTCACAAGTGTTCTGACTGTAGCTATGCTGCTACTTCCAAGAGCAATCTCAACAGCCATATAAAACATGTACATCTGAAGGTAAAACCGCATAAATGCGCTCTCTGTGCTTATGCTGCCACAAATAAAACACATCTTCGTGATCACACTACAGGTGTCCATCAGAAACTCAGGCGCTACAAATGCCATGAATGTGCCTACGCTGCCGCCGTGAAGAGTAAACTTACGCACCATATGAAAGTCGTTCACTTGAAACTAAAGCCATTCAAGTGTGATGAGTGCGGCAGCTACTTTTCTCAGAAAGGTAATCTAAAAGTTCACATTTCCAGGGTGCACCTCAAAGACAAACCGCACTCGTGCCCGTACTGTTGCTATTCATATGAGTCGAAAGCAGGACTTGCTAGGCATGTTGCTAGCGTTCACTTGAAGCTGAAGCCTCACAAGTGTCCTCAATGTGACTACACTTGCAGCACTAAAGGAGATCTTAAGTCTCATGTTAATAGTGTTCATTTAAAATTACGACCTCACAAGTGCCAGACGTGCAAGCGCGGGTTCTACCAGAAAGCTCACCTAGAACGGCACATAAAATCGGTGCACATGAATTTAAGGGAAAACAAATGTTCGCAGTCTGATGCAGGTTCTCGCGGGGATCTCAGGAGACATGTTGATGCGGTGCATCTAAAAAAATACGAGTGCGGAGTACGCGAGTAGAGTACAGCGCCGTTAAGAAGTCTGGGCTTATAAGCCATGTTGCTGGTAAACACTGAAAATCAATTGGCTTCCAAACCGAGTATGATTTTTGCTGGCGTATATATTTTTTTTTGCTTATATACGCCGTGTGCATGAAATTAATTCCCTTTATTTCTCGTTCTCTGCTGCCGGTAGCCCACATCAATACTTGCTTTGCTATACTTGTAGTCGTTATTATAATATTTTGCATTTAGTCATTACCTACTGAAATAAATTGTCATGTCCAGGTGTGACAACCGACCTGTGTGAGGTCATTTACTACACCTCAAAGAAGACATCATCATCAACCTTGCGCCAGTCTCATCTCGAGGAACTTGTTTGGCGGACACGCCTTGTATTCGCAGACATAAACTTACTTGTGACTTTCAGCTTTGTCATGGAAAGTGAAATAAAACTAATTAATAATCAATGAATACTTATTTTCCAGTAAATGCAGATTTGATTGTCTAAAAAGACATTTAAAATAGTTTGTTCCTCCTTTTTAAAAACTTATTTAATCAACATGAAATTTACGTACTTGCGGAACGCGATCTCACGGATTTGCTGTTTACATAAAGCCGTAGTTGGTAAGTAAAAGTTGTGATTGACGGCGCGGTGGTGTAAAGAGCAAAGAGTTCATCGTTCCTAGTCGTAAGTAACGCTCTTGAAAATTTTATAAGCTTTAGTTAATTATTTCATTTAATTTAGGAAGATGGGACGGGGTGGGAGTAAATGTAGGAAAAAACAAGAATAACTAGCCTTTCACCTGGGACGTCTGACCCCGTTCCAACTTCCCGAGGCCGCGCCACTGTGCAGAAAGTAAGTCACTAAAGTGAATATCGCAAGATCTTTGGCAAAGCATCAGCAGCAAAATTTTTGCCTTCAAAAGTTCTTGCCAACACATTTGGATTGAAATTATTGCATTATAGATATTTGGCTTATTCGCCAGTCTTTGGCCAACTATTTAGATAGTAGTTGAAAATCTGAATGGCTGCAAGCGGTGCTGTGGCCGTGTGGCGGATGCAGTGAATAACAAGAATAATAAATCTAGAACTAAGCAAAGGTTGCTAAATGCTAAGACATAGGGTTCATGATAGCTCTGTTGATATCTGATGATCTCTTGGTGTCCCTGTCAGCAGAATTGTTTTGACTGTCAAGCCCCACTCTACTTTGCCGCTCTCTTAATACAATAGATGGCACCATGCAATTGCCAAGGTGCAGAAAGTGCAAGCAGCATTGCCAAGATATGGTTTTTTCAGCTCAAAGCATTGCTGGCCATTTTTAAGATCCATTGCTAGGTAGTTTTTATGAAGAAAGTGCTGCAAGCAACTTTGATAGTATATCCTTTACTATCCACATACCGAAACACTTACACACAACATAACTGATTTCCAGACAAGCGTCACTGCATTCTGATCCTTCCAGCGTACCGGAAACTTTACTGTGTGCGCTTGGGGACTTGGGGTCCTTCAGATTTCCAGTAATTTCAAAGTTATTTCTCATATGCAATAATTTCAATGCAAATGTGTTGGCAAAATCTTCAGAAGGTGTAAATTTTGCTGCTGATTCATCGCCAAAGATCTGGCAATATTCACCCACTTTCTATTCTGCACAGTGGCACATTTGGCTGCCAGATAGCTGCCAAGTTATGCATGTTGTAGTGCATAGTGGAATTCTATGAAGAGAGGTACTTATGGCGGTCCACCGCCATGCGGCAGTCTTAACCCTTTGCATGGCCCCATGCCCTTGGCCCTTGGGCTCCTCTTGCAAGTTGCAATGGTCTAAACTCAACGGTTTGACCCCATGGTCTCATCACAACTCCCTTTAGAAATATGTGGTGTTTTGAAATTGATATAAATAAATCAATAAATATTTGAACTGTGAAATTCCTTAGTTACTTACATTGGTTCCAGAATGATATCAATGACGTAAAAAATGACAATGGCATCGGTTAAGACTCAGCCATGATTCTAGCTCTGCTCAGTCTTTACACTATTACCTCTTTTACACTTTTACCTCAAATTAAAAACATTCTTTTACATCAGAAACGATTTTTTTCTTACAGCTTCTATGATGATATAGCTTCTCCCTTGTATAACTAAATATTTTAAATTTACTGATTTTGTCATTTTAAAGGCTCTATTGATTACAGAACATTAGTTTTCACAAGTGTATTCAATAACAGTTCTGAAATAAACATTTCCATTACCAATTATAAAGGAAGTTTGCAAAATACTTACCAAATCATATCATTGTCATTTATTTTATGATGTATGGATGACAATTTTTCCTTTGTTTCTTCTATGTTTATTTATACCCGCAGCAACTGTAGAAATACATGCCAAGGCCGTTCAAACAACACAACCGTTGCGTTGCCGCAGAAGTGTTGCATTGTTCTGCCACTGACTGGTTGATATAAGTTTAGTCCTAAGCAAATGTTGAGCATTAAAATCGTAAATACCTCATGCTTACTCGTTTAGGGGCTGGTCCTTTAGCGTTTAAAATAATTTGTCCTGGTATTCATAACTGATCATTAACTTTTGCATTGTATTTATCTATATATAAAATTAATTAAATCATACAATTTGGTACAATATATATGAGCATGAGCACTGCACTCTTCAAGGAGTTCAGGTTAGTGAAGTGATGGTACTCAGGAGAGGAAGGTCACAAACTTGCAGTCAGGGACTCCAGATCTCCACAACAGCTTGGCAGCTGGGTCCCACACCAACTGCTCCTATCGAATTAACAAGTACAAATCTTGAGTCCATTGCCTTTTATGGCAAATAAAGAGGACTCATACTTCAAGTGAATAAAGTTAAGATTGAGATTAAATTTAGCAAGCGGGTATTAAGCTTCAGCAAGAAGCAGGACACTTACTCCATACAGTATAGCAAAAAGGAACACAAAGCATAACACAAGACTTAATGCTGTAATGCAAATGTCACACTGTAAACACTCAATAACTGTAAAAGCAACCAAATATTTACCAAGATCATAAGCCAAATTGGGTGCAATTTAGTTAGAGCATGAAAATGGGTAGGACAGGAAATTAATGCATCATATTACCAGTTCACTGCAACTCACCCTTAAGGAGCGTTGAAGTTGCTTAGGAAACAGGAGTATGTGGAAGAACCAGAGTATCGGCAGTTTGTCAAGCAGGATTATGTTGACAATCACTTCAAGGTAAATTGGAATTCAGGCAATGGATGAAGACATTGATAGACAATCAGGTGCAGATAGGCACAAGTTCAAGCATGACCATGCTGGTGCATGTTAAAGGTAGACTTTTTCACTGGCAATACTGGACACATGTATTGGTAAAGCCAATAACAAAGATATATGTCTGAAACAAACACAGAAGAAACACACACATTATTGATAACAAAACAAAATTTAAACCACTCCTTCTAAGGGAGAAAACCAGATGATATTAGGAGGCATGACCTAGAAGTAAGAAAATGCACTATGATACAATACAGCTAATGTTCTGCGGCCCTCTTCACCGTGTTGGCGACGCCTCCCTTGAATACATTCACTAGTTGTATCAGACAATTTTTGCAATGAATATGTTCTAAAATAAAAAAAAATTATGTCATTTTTTGCAGAAAATTCTCACAATTTCACCATTACCAACAAAGTTCTCGAAACCACATAAAATGATGAGATAAACTGCAAATCTTTCATGGTGTATGGGCACATAGTGCTGCCATAAATACATTTGATAAGATGGTGTCACACACTTTGTTTTTTGGTCTTGTCAAGTTTGATTTCACAATAAATAGATTTGATCCACATTCCACTCTAAGATTTAAATCATGGAAAGTTGTTTCAAAATCTAATCACCTATTCATACTTGTCCAGATATGAAATTTTTCACGTTTTTGCCCTATTAGGTCTAATTTGTCTTAATAACTTCACTTAAAATTCTGAATGATTTTGTCTCCCATCATGAGTTTTCAAACATCTTGTGTCTTTCAGAAAATGTTCATTGTTTAAAAGGGACAATTAGTGCAATACATAAAACATTGAGCATGTACCATGAGGTGTATTAAATAATTCAATTTGATTTAATAAAAATTAATTTTTAATTCAAACATTTTAATCAAAATTTTCAATTTAACATTTTTTAATAGAATTTGATTCTACAGCATGTACCATCTGGTGTATCAAATAAATAAATTTAATTTATTACAATTTAATTTTAATTATTTTTTAATTCTACTTAATTCTATAGCTGCAACTGGTATAAATGACCATTTTGTCATTCATACACCCCAAATTGAAAAACATTGAATGAATTTGATAGGTGTATTAATAATCCCATTTATATATAGGAATGGAAATGTTGCTTTAATTTCAGAATCTGTTCCTGAATACATTTGTGAAACTACCGTAATACTTATGGTAAATACCATA